GGTCAGCAAGACACATGGCTGTCTGTGTGAGCTCTGACTCTACTTCACTCCAGCAATTCACAAGGATAGAGTCAAAGTCAGTCAGCGTGCACCTCAACCTCAAGAGCTAAAATCATAAAACATCTAGAAGAAAATCTGGGAGGTTGTCTTAAATATGACATGAGAGGCACTAACTGTACAGACTTTGCTCTTTGGGGGATTCTGTTAGGAGAGTGCCTGGATATACCCCAGGCACAGGGAAATGCCTGTGATGCACAGACCTGACAAAGATCTTGTGTCAGGAACTTCCATGAAGACTCTTTCAACTCAGGTATGACAGAACCAGTGACACAATCAAAGTGGGCCTAATATTCAGATGGATCCCTCAACGAAGGTGCATGCACATGAGAAATGTCCCATTTCTCAGCATCATCAGTCATTGTGGAATTGAAAATCACAACAGCAGTTACCACCATGTACTGACCAGAATGTCAATAAAGGATGTGGAGGTGAATTTACCCTTAGATATTGCTGGTAGCTGAGGTGGTGTGAATACATGAAACAGAATTTACCTGTTTCCTCTTTCTTCTCCTTTTCATAGGTAGCCCAGGCTGACCTAAAACTTGCCATGTAGCTGAAGATGACCCTTAATTTCTGATCCTCCTGCCTCCACCTCCTGAGTGCTGGGATTAGAGGAGTGTGTTGCCCTGCTCAGATTATGTTGTGCTAGGATTTGAACCCAGGGCTCTGAGCAACAGGGCAATGTAGCATGAGTTCTAATAGGTCTTAATAACAAAAACCCAGAGTCAGATATCAGGGTAAATGCTGAAAGATCAGAGGAGTAAAGGAGTCAGCCATAAGAGAGACATTTTACTTCTACTGAATCCTCAGACCAAAGGAGTGATCCTGTCCCTACAAATCCTCAGACTGAATGCCATGAGTTCCTGTCTCCACCTCCCTAGTGCTGGTATTAAAGGCATGTGATCCCAAGTACTAGAACTAAAGATGTGAGCCACCACTGCCTGATTCTGTTCCTCTTTTAGACTGGATTAATCTCAGGTAGCCTAGGGTGGCCTTGAACTCACAGAGATCTGCCTGCCTCTTCCTCTGCCTCCCAGGTGCTGAGATTAAAGCTGTGTGCCACCGCTGCCTGGTGTCTGTGGCTAACTAGTTTAGCTAGGTCCACAATCTGATCTTCAGGCAAACTTTATTTGTTAGATCACAAGACATCACCACAGGGCAGTATCTCCAATTTCTTACAAATAATCCCACAAATATCATACAAAATTAAACATATTCTTACCATTCATACAACAAATCCACTTCTAGGTATTGATCCAAGAAAAATGAAAACATATTCATCTACAGTATTGTTCAAAAAATCCTAAAAGTGAAAACAAGTCATGCATATATATTGATTGGTGAATGGGGGGGTGAACAAAACCCTACACTATGCCCACTGACTAGAATACCAGTCAACAGTAAAAAGGGAAAGTCAAAACGGACTGAGGAGATGACTTAGTGGATAAAGCACTTGCTATGCTAAGCCCGAGGACCAGCATTCAGATGCCCAGACGCCTGAGTGGGAATGGCAGCCCACCTGTAACCTCAGCACACAGGAGACAGAGATGAGATCACTGGGACCAGCTGGCTACCTACATTAGCCAAATCATGAGCTCTGGTTTCAAGGGAGAGAGACCCTGCCTCAGTTTAGTATAAGGCAGAGATCAGTGGAGGAAGACACCCAGCATCAACGTCTAGCCTTAACAGACGCAGCTGTGGAGACAAAACTGAGTCTTACAGGCCCAGAGGCTAATTCCTCTGTAGGTTTTTTCCCTTTCTGTACAATTCAGCGGTTATTTACTGAGTACCTACTGTATTCCATATCCTATACACGGGGGTGTGGGGGGTGTGGGGGGTAATCTGGTCACCGTGTCCTTGCAAATCCCAAAGTAAGACTTCCTAGATTCCATCCTAAGTTAACAACTGGGTGATGTTTGTTCAAGTGTGGCACTTATAATGTGAGTCTCCTGGAGGGGCTAGTCACAGGGAGTCTGGTGGTACTGGAAAGTTACTTGGCAAGCTACAAACGAGCCCTGTGGTTGCCGTGGTTACAATCCTGAAAGCCCCCATACCTGTGCATCTGCATTCAGTCAGTCAGAAAGCTGGGCTGTGCAGCCCTTGTCTTCATGTGTTGGCTGTGAGATCCGAGAAGGGTTATTTAGACTCATTGTTTAGCCTTTCAGCGCTGCCAGTTCTTTTAAACAAGCCTTCCTTACCAGGTTGGTGGGGAGTAAATGAGCTGACAATCCAGTAAACGCTTAAAAAAAAAAAAAAAACAGGGCCTCTCTATGTAGTGTAGACGATGCTAGAAATCACTTGGCAGACCAACCTGGTCTCAAACTCACAGAAATCTACCTGCCTCTGCTTCTGCTAAGATTAAGGGCATGTACCACCATGCCTATCTTGACCTTGAATTTTTGATGCTCCTACCTCAGCCCTTACAAATGTTAATTATTCATAGACTTTGTACAACTCATGCATTTTAGCAAAGAAAACCAAAGCCTATTGACAATAAGCAGGGTCACATAACAGGTCAGACAGGGCAGGAATGCTGTGGCTTCCCAGCTCTGAGGAGAGCATATCTGACCAGAGACCAGATAGTGTTCCTGTCTCCTGTCTCCACATCACTCCAGGGCCTTCAAACTCCCTCTCCAAACCCTAGAATATGTTGGGAAAGGAAGGAAGGCCCTCCCTGCCCTTCTAAAGGGTGACGCTGAGTGTGAGGAGGTTAGGTCAGAAGCAGGCAGTCATCTAGGACCACAGGATTCTGAATGTGCCGATCTCACCTGATCTCAGAAGATGAACACGTTTAGCCTGGTTGGTACTAGAGCTGAAGATGAAGCTGGTTGACCCGGGGGAATTGCCCTTAATCCCAGTTTCCATGTGACCCTGCTTGGGGCTTACCTGAAGCAGGAGAGCTGCTACCCAGACATAAATGGAAGCAGAATCCTCCTCCCTCCAGCACCCCCCCACACACAAACATGCACTCATGTGCGCACACACACAAGCACACATACATAAACCCCTACCCGGGGAGGGGATTATAGAGTTGGAATCTCCAGGTGTATCAGATTGGAGGCTGGTTAAGATACTATCTAGACAGCAGGCATGAGGGCCTCTGAGTACTTCCCAAGGGAACAAGCAGTTTCCGGGCCCCCTGGGAGCTTTGTGCCTTACAACAATATTTTGCCAGGCAGTGGTGGCACATGCCTTTAATCCCAGTACTCAGGAGGCAGAGGCAGGTGGATCTCTTTACAGAGCCAGTTTCAGGACAGACTCCAAAGAAACTCTGTCTCAAAAAAACTGAGAGAGAGAGAGAGAGAGAGAGAGAGAGAGAGAGAGAGAGAGAGAGAGAGAGAGAGGGAGGGAGGGAGGGAGGACAAGGGAGGGAGAGACAGACAGACAGAGACAGAGAGACAGACAGAGAGACAGAGAGAGAGACAAGGCACAGAGCTCTCTGGAGGCAGGTGGATGGGTCATGACAGGGGCAGAGAAAGGTGTGCTGGCACTACAGAGGTAGATAAGGACAAACAGGAAGACCATGCCAGGTGCAGAGGTCATCGTGTTCAGGGATGTAGGATCATGAAGCAGGCATGCAGGGAACCATGCAGGATGAGATGGACCAAGGATGCTAAAGGAGGCCTAGGGCACCAGGCAACCCCACCCGACTTCTGGGTTTGGCTAAGCTGAGCTCCAGAGCTTGCTGCTGGGACCTAGGGAACCAAGCCATATCAGGTACAGGCACAGCATGACACTGACCTCTCCTCCCCCAGGCCAGAGATTCCACCTGTCCTTCTGGTTACTCCTCCAGGAAGCCCCTGTGACTGAAGCCCTAGACTTTTAGACCGGAAGGCCACAAAGAGAAATTGAATCTGAGACTAAATTAGAAAACATTTCACTTTACACTTGGCCCTGAGTCAAATCTCAGCTCTGGGATAAGGGATCCTTAGGGGGAAAAAAATGCTTCCCCCAAGCATTTAGCCCGGGGCTGACTCCCAGATCTATCCAGTAAGTGTCAGCTTCCTTAAGTGTCAGAACCAGCAGACATCAGGCTTCTCATCGCATATGGGAGGAAACAAAAGAGCTCAGGACACCTCAGTGACAGCCCAAGACCATGAAGAAGGTAGGTGGGAGGTCAGAGGTGTCCCGACACCATAGAACCATGGTTGTGGTCCTGATCCTGTAGCTCCAAGAAAAAAGATCTTGGAGCGATCACAAACTCTTTCAGCCTCAGTTTCCCCTTATGTCACATAAGGCTTGTGACACTATAGCTAGAGCATGCTGCTGAACTACAATTTTGCAGGTCCATGAAATACCCCATTATTTTATTGCCACGGTGCTAGGGAGCCCAGAGCCTCTACCATTCAGTCACATCCCTTATTTGAAATACCACACTCATCAAGCCTGGTGGAGTGATGTGCGCCTTTAATCCAGCAATCGGGGAGCAGAGACAGGAGGCTCTCTGTGAATGGGAGGCCAGCCTAGTCTACATAGTGAGTTCCAGAGTTATTTTGTGTGACTCTGTCTCAAAAGAAAACTATATATACATATATATATGTATATATATAATAAAACGAAATATTGCACCCGAGTTTCCTCCTTTCAAGAGATTTAACTCTGGCTACCCTGGCTCCATCACTATCAAGCTCTCACCCCCCTGTCTCCCTTGGGAAGGCAGACATTCCCAGGGCCTGGAAGTATAGGCAAGGTCTGTGCCATCCAGCCTGTTCTAACCATTACTGAGATGCCCATGACCTGAGATGCTGTGTCCCCTGGCATCTTGTGGCATTCTACCCCAATGGTTCAAGATCAGAGCAAAGCACCAGACTCATCCTTCCAGGCATGAGAAGGGCCACATCACATTCCAGGCCCGGGCCTGTCATCTGTTTTCTGCCCTCTTCCACTCTCCCAGCCCTCAGGAACTCTCCGGGACCCACTCCTCAAAAGCAATGTCTTACGTGACAAGTCCTGATGATGAAGGAGGACGGGGGAGTTCCTTGTTCCTGGCAGGCTTCAGGTGGTTCTGCTACAGCCTTCAAGCCCCAAAGTAGAGAAGTGAAAGTCTGGCAGGTGTGTTGGCACAGGCTTGTAACCCAGAAGCACCTGGGAAGTTGAGGAGGAGGAGCTTGAGTTTGAAGCCAGCCTGGGCTACATAAGCTCCATCAAGGAAGGAAAAGAAGAGAGCAGGGAGGGGAGGGTAGAGGAGGGGAGGAAGAGGAAGAAAGAAAAGAAGGAAGGAAGGAAGGAAGGAAGGTAGCTTGGACCCATTCTACAGGAAACAGTCTGTACAACTGAGCATCTGTAACCTGAAAATCCAAAATCTGAGGCTTTTTGAGTGTGAGTGTGATGCTCAGCCTGAATCCTGTCTGCAGATGGCCTCCTGCACTGACCCATCTCCCCCAGAGGGCAGGCAGGCAGTAAGCAGATGGCTGAAATCCCACTCTATTATGTGCAGAGCTGCTTGGAGGACAGAGAACCATGCAGGGTGTGGCCTCCCAGTGGTGGCTCACACAAGAGGCATCTAACCCCCTGATATCTGTATATCTGTATCCTTCGGCTCCGGCCAGCCCTCAAGGGAGACCCTGCAAGGGATGATGGAGCATTCCAGAGAGCATAAAATCATTGAGGAGCATGCACAGCAATGTGAGGTGTTCAAGGCACTTGTTTTTTGTTTGTTTTGTTGTTGTTTTTTGTTTTGTTTTTGTTTATTGAGACAGGGTTTCTCTGTGGCTTTGGAGCCTGTCCTGGAACTTGCTCTTGTAGACCAGGCTGGTCTCGAACTCACAGAGATCCGCCTGCCTCTGCCTCCCGAGTGCTGGGATTAAAGGCGTGCGCCACCACTGCCTGGCTGCTCAAGGCATTTGCACATGACCCCGTTCCACAGAAGTTCTATTGCCAAGAGAGAAATGGAAGCTGGCTTGTGCTGTGGGCGTGTGACGGTCAGCCTTGTAAAGGAGACAGGTCCTGATGACAGTTAAACTTAGAACACATTGGAGAAGCATTTTGATTATAAGACCGAATAGAATGGGGGTGGGCGGGATGGGGGGCACCCCAGATGCTGCAAAAGCTGACCCAGGGACATAAAAGACCTACTTCCTTTCTCCTGTGCAGAATAGAAACCATGAAGGATGCCTGAGTTCCTGCAGTAAGCCCTGGTTTGTCTATCTGAGAAATGGGTGCAATGGCCCCAGTGGACTGTGAAAGACAAAGCCGTCTTTACCTAAAGAAGCTTGCTGAGTGGGGCCACGAACCAGTTCGGTGTGTAAAGAGGCTTGCTGCCAAACCTGATGAGCTGAGTTCAATCCCTGAGACGCACACCGTGAAGGGGCTCCTGCAGCTTGTCCTGCGGCCTCCACACTGGGGTGTGGCACATGCTGCCCCTCCCATAATAAATAAATAATGCAAACGTTTAAAAAAAAACAAAGTTTGCTGAAGAAAAGGTGGTCCCAGTCACATACTCTCCTCCTACCAAGATGGAAAGCCAGGGGACATGGCTTTATTTCTGCCTCCTCAGCAACTCTAACGGGAGGGTCATGTCCAGAGCCCCACCCAGGCCATGGATGTCCATTTTTCTGCAAGAATGCTGGACATAACCACTCTGCCTGAGGTACTAGCCCAGTGTGAAGGCAACAGAGGTGTCCAGAATCACATTGTTAGGTCCTGCTCCAGGAGAGGGGCTGCGGGGAATGAGGCCTGAGGCTGGGGCTGGAGGGGGCCTCAGAACATCACGTTGATGAAAGGTGGGTGCTCAGGTTCTGGAAGGCTGCTGTGCCAGCACTCCCCAGGGATGCCAGGGAGGCCCCAGACTAGAGGAAAGGAAAGCTCCCTTCTCTTCTTCTGCCTGCTGGAGGAAGCCAAAGACTGGGAATTCTGCCCCAGGTGGGCAGCAGTCTGACCTCTAAGATTCTTGCTCTTGGTGAGGACGTGAGTCGCCTGGTTTTTCTGACTAGAACTGAAATCCCCTCGGTGGCCCTCTGTCCACCTCTGTCCCACTGCCCTCCAGGATGTTCTACAAGATCATAGCACTCATTTGCTCACCTGCCTTCAGAGTTTTCTATGTCACCTCTGCCATTTCCCCCTTCTGGCTAAACACTAAAGCGTCCTCGGACTCTTGTTAAGCCCACAAGGCCCCTAGCCTCCTGCATCCTAGCTCCAAAGTCTACTGGCTGCTAGAGTCTCTCCCACGTTTCTCATTCACTAGCTAAGACTCAACCATACTCACACAGGGCTGAGCCTCTTGGCTCAAGGCTTGAAATTCTAATTCAGCCCCTAAGGTTCACTGGAGCCTCAGGGCTAGACACAGAAGCTTTGGGAAGCTGCAATGCTTGATTCTGTTGCAGTCCCTGTGCTGCGGGGACGGGTAAAGAAGAGAGAGTTAGGGAGGGAAGGTTTACCACAGAACTTATACCCTGGGTAGAAACCCAGACCTGAGGTCCAGCGTGGACCTCAGCTGCCTTCTGGCTCAGCTCCCTGCAGTGGGAACCGGCTGGCACCCTACCCTCTCTGACCAACAATCTTCCTTAAGAGCATGAATTGGCCGTAGTACTCCAGAACCTGGACCAGTACATGGTATCCAGGGGCCTCGAGGTTGTGAATACAGCCCATAGTAGCCCCCAAATCACCTTTGCAACCCCCCCCCCGCCGCCCACAGGTCACCAAGCATACAGCGGGATTCAGCCCGGAGGTCGCCACCCCCACTACCAAAAGGAAGCATTCTGAAAGCCGGACGTGGAGCAAGCATCTCCTGTACTGTGCGCTGCACACGGGGGTGGCAGGAAAAGGCACATCACTTCAGAGAGGAGAGGGCAATGGGGCGGGGTCAGGGGCCAAGGAGAGAAACGAACCTGAGATCTGATAAAGAAGCCACTTGCTGAGCAAGGCTGGGGTGTAGCCAGGAGGCTGGGGTGCAGCGTGCAGTCTGGGGTGCAGCAGCAAGGCTTAGCGGCCAGGGGCACCGTGACACCTCAGCCTGCTGGCCGCCCCCCGAGCTTCTGAGATAACTGTGTGGTCAGATGCCGCCCATTCTGCAGCAGCACACCCAAGTCCCAGGCTGCAAGCTCTAAAGGATCCCCGCCCCAGAAGTGGTTTCTGGGGTGCCTGTCCTGCCTGGGCTTGGCATCCAGGGTATAGAAGGGAAACTGAGGCTGGTCAAGCCTCCCAATTTCAGTCAGTGTTGTCAGCTATAGGGTCTGGGTTCACTCCTGCTCCTGGGCCAACTAAGACTCAGGTGGCTAGTGTTCTCTGTTCAGGTCCTCAGATGACCTTTCCATGACCTTGGGGACTGTTGCCGTCCCCCTGGGTTCCCTATCCTCCAGAGGTTGTAGGTGGGTCATCTGCATCCTCAGAATTTTGAAGGGGAGGGGGTGCGGTTCCGTGCTATGCAGTCCCCGACAGTGGCTTGAGCCAAAACCAGACCAGCTAAGAACTGAACATTCTACATCCCAGGACAAACGCTGGCTGAGGCCACCATGACTGGTAGTGTCTTTCACACTCTGGCCTTGAGATTCCTTCTACTGAGACTCTAGAGGCCCTTGCCTGCTCACTGCCAGACCCTCTCCATGAAAGGACAGGACCTACCCTTCTAGACAGACCACAGATTGATTTTAGAGACAGCAGCAAACCTCTCCTGGGACTGTAGAACATGTAGTTGGAAGCCCATGCACGCTCTGGGGCAAGAGCCCATGATTCCATAGGAATGCTCTCAAGGATTTGGGTGACATGCAGCCTGGCCCACAGACAATAATAGTAACAGCATCCCAGTCGCAGGAATGGTGCAGGGTGAGCCTCAGATGCCACATCTAAGCGCTTAGCTGGGTGGTAAGCACCAGAGACCCCAATAGCTTAAATTCAAAAATCCACTCTCTCCGTTCTCTGAATTCCCTAGCTGTGGCCATTGCCAAAAGACTTGCACCAAAAATAAACAGAAACAATGAGAGCTCAGTAAGCAAGTTGAATTTTTCGTTGCACTTTTTTTTCAAGAGAAGAAAGACTTTTTGCAGGACCCTCCACCTCCACCTCTGCTGCTCCACAAAAGGAGCTCTGAAAGTGTCTAACCTCACACTCTGATTTTCCACATAGCTTCCTCTAGTAGGAGCAAGTCACCTTTAGCAAGTAGCCAGGGCTGCTAAGGAACGTCTTTGTGTTCCCATTAGCTGGTCTTTGTTACAGGCTGAACTGGAGCTTCTCCTGCCTCAGTTCCCCTAGTGCTGGAATCACAGGAGTGCACCGCAGTACTGAGAGGTATTCCACCAGCTTCATCAGTGAACAGAGGCTGGGCAAGGCAAAGCAACCTGCCCATATTCTAACTGTGTCAGGTAGATAAGGGCTGTACCTGAACTGAGGGAGATACTGATTTCTTTTCTTTTGTTGTTGTTGCTGCTGTTTTGTTTTTGAGACAGGGTCTCTCTATGTAACTCCGGCTGGCCTGGAACTCACAGAGATCCTCCTGCCTCTGCCTCCCAAGTGCCGGGATTAAAGGCGTGCGTCACCACCACCAGGCAAGGCACTGGTTCCTTAACTGTACGCTGAGAGCCCAAAGGCAAAGGTTATTTGGGAAACAAGCCAAAGTGCAGGCAACTGGGGACATGGGCGAGAGAAGGCAGCAGGTCTCTCTCCCCTCACAGACCTCACCTCTGAGTCCCTGTGTCTCCAAGGTGGGCAGGAAGAGAGCAGCAGAGGGCTGAGGTTGGAAGACATATAAAATATGTTCACAGCAAGCAGCAGGAGCCGTGTGTGTGTGTGTGTGTGTGTGTGTGTGTGTGTCAGGGAAGAGCCAGAGGTGGGCTTGTGACTCCCCCAGGGCAGAAGAGTCCCCAAGCCACTGTGAGGTGCCCTCATCACACCCTGCACGCTCGCTGTAGAGGCACCTGCACCCACTGCTTTTTTTTTTTTAACCACAGATTCCCTGAGCAGGATTGATGAACAAGGTAATAACGGGGGCAATCACATTATTCCTGAATGCATTTTAATAAAAATCAAATAAAAGCAATTATGTGAATTTCCAAGAGGATCACCTCTCCTCCTTTCCCCGAGGTAGGAAATGGAATGAATTCAGGAAATCATTAAAATCAGAAACCGAGCCGGCTGCCACTGAGGCTCTAGCGGCTACACAAAGGCGGCAGGGAAGGAAGCCCGGTCCCCACCGGCACGTGGCAGCCAGCAGCGTGGGCGCCTTTCTTCAGCTAACTGCGTGAAAATTCCACCTATGGGTGGCAGAGGGTAATTAAGGGCCAGAGGAGCTGCTTTGAAAGCAGGTCGCCTTTTTCCCCTCTAGTGCAGACTGGCAGTTTCAAAGGGACCCAGCCTCCCCTCAAAGGAGTATTTCTGTCGCCAGCAGTCAGGGGCCTGGTGGGCTCAGGGAGGGTTCTCAGACTACTCAGTGTCCCTCTGTGGGGACATACAGACCTCAGCCCACCTGGATGCCAGAGGACTGAGCGTCCTGTCCTTCATCATTTCCTCAGAGGGGCACAGGCTTGTCACCTGCAAGATCCTTCTGATGGCCCACCAGCCACTCTTATCTCATCTAACCCTCGGGTTGATAAGGTCCTTTGAGACGGAGGTAGCTACAGCCAGAGGGGGCCAGAGACCTGCTCAAGCTCTCAGCTGGTAAGGCAAGGCCACTTGGGCAACTGCTCATCCTGTGGTGTCGGTGGCCTGAACCCAGGGGCTTCCACCAGGCAAAGCACGGGGCTTGCCAGATTCAACTGAGTGTCCCCATTGCGCCCTGGGCTGGTGACCATCTCCAGGCAACGAAGGCAGTCAGTTGTCCTATCTGTACATATGTGGAATTGGGTTTCAGGGAGGCAAGGAGCTGTCCACAGCCCCACAGATGGAGGTGAGGAGTCATGGGTTCTACCAGGCTGCCAGAGTTCCCAGGCTGAGACCCCTGTCTGCTAAGCCACAAGGCCACTGAGGGAGCTTTCACTCAGGCCTTTGGGAAGAAGATGCTTAGAAGGTACGGCAAGAACCTGCCAGCCACCCCACTCCCACAATCATACTAATAGTCCAGGCCACCAAGTCACACGAAAGAGGAAAGTCCAAAAGGACCCCGAAAGGACTTCCTGGTTATGTCAAAGTTCATCTCCCTCAAACACAACAACTTGAAACTCAGATGCAGTGGGCAAGGCAGCAGAAGCCCTTTGGGGGCAGCCTGAGTAAAGGGACAGGGGGAAAGGTCTGAAGTGACCTCTGCACATGTGTCCCTAGTTCTTATGTCCTCTCTGGACACACATGCACATGTGTGTAACCATGTGTGTGTGTGTGTGTGTGTGTGTGTGTACACACAGGCACATGTGCGTAACCATGTGTGTGTGTGCACACACAGGCACATGTGTGTAACCATATGTGTGTGTGCACACATGCACATGTGTGTAACCATGTGTGTGTGTGCACACACAGGCACATGTGTGTAACCATATGTGTGTGTGTGCACACATGCACATGTGTGTAACCATGTGTGTGTGCACACACAGGCACATGTGTGTAACCATATATGTGTGTGTGCACACACATGCACATGTGTGTAACCATGTGTGTGTACACACAGGCACATTGTGTAACCATGTGTGTGTTTATGTGCACACACAGGCACATGTGTGTAACCATATGCGTGTATGTGCATGTGTGCTTGTGTGAATACACTGGGGCAGGGACGACCTGATTCCTGCTTCAGACATTTGGTGGTGCTGTTCCACCCCATCCAGTCTCAAACTCTCCTCCAGGCTGTCTTCAGTCTCTGCCGTTGCTTACAGCTGTGCGCCCTCCTATAGGACACTTGTGGAAATGTCACTGGGGAAAATCACCGCTTACATTCCGGGAAGCAAGAGAGAAAGGGAAGATTCTAGACCTTCCTGCTGTCAGCTTCTTTGTGGTTCGGGCGGGCCCCAGACGTCACTCACTCGGCATGAGAAGCAAGCACTGGACACCTGGTTGCTGGTCTCATGGCTCTGCACCTCTGTTAACCTGAAGGTGCTCTATCAGGTCCTTGAATGCTGTTAGGGCTGGTGGGCAGTCTGGGATGACATGTACTAGTTAGTCAGTACCCTCAAGGGCCAGCCTCTGTGGTCAAATGCATGGTAGGTTCTCCATATATGTGCCTTGTGTGATACTCAGAGATCAAACAGGCTTGTCCACAAACAGAAGAAAGTCCATGCATCATGCTCCACATACATGTGGACTTGGGATCATATTTACACAGATGTAAACGTGTGTGCATGTATGCCTACATTCGTACACACACATGCATAACAATTACACATACATGTAGACTTACACACCCATCCAGCAAGTGTATAGACAGCAGAGTACCCCAAGTCCTAGGAGCCTCCCTGAGACTTGCTTTCCAGTCCAAAGCCCAGACTAGCCCATAGGACTTGTAAGAAGTCCATATCCATGGAGTCCCCATACCCAGGAATGTCCATCTGCTTTCATGCACTCTCTTATCCAGAGTCACTCTAGGAATGTCTGCTTTGGAGTCAATGCTCGGCCCCCTGGGGTCTGGGTACTAGCTACCTAACATCCCTGTCCCGTGAGAGGGACAGGTACCCAAAGACACTGATGGGTATGAAGATCAGATCTCCCAAGAAAGGCCTCCCTGCAATGAAACCTTGGGGCTGGAGCTGGAAGGAGCCCCAGGTATCCTGAATGGAAAGGAAAGTGTCCTACAGGTAGAGAACACTTCCCCAGGCAAACACATTGTTAGCACACCTTGCTCAAGGAATGTCCAGCTGCCAGGTGCTGTCCTGCCCTGCTGGCTGCACCGGGAACATGTGTCCATTTCAGAGAATTTGCTGCAGGAGGGCAAATGAGGTTCCGTGTGGCCCTAAAAAATAGGGAGACATTAGATCACAGGCAGATCCTCAAAAGTGCCCCTTTCCCTTGAAGAAGTCATGTCCTTTGGGATCGAAGAACCTAATGCCATGGCTCAAAGGTGCAGTTAGGCCAGTGGTTCCACACACATGTCCTGAAATGATTTGTTTAAAAGAGGAAGCAATGGCCACATTTAGGGTACTAGTTCCTCCCGGGGAAGTAGGGAGCCGAGAGGCAGGTCTTCCCTTGTGATGTGTTCATAGCTCACGAATAAGTCTTTTATATGCAGGAAATATAATGTAATAAAATTTTAATTGTGTATAAGCCCAGTTTTACAGGGCTGTTGCGAGGCCGGGTTGGCTGAGAGGCCTCTATGATCCCCTGAGGCTGCCATCCTTGAAGGTACCCTATCCAGCTCTGCAGCAGTGTGGAGGCCTGGGCTGTCTTCCCAGCTCCACTAAATAAATGCACAGCATATTCCCGTCATGTCTAGAACAAGGCCGGGCATGGACAGAAAGACAGGCAGAGAAGACCAGCACATTCTTTGCGAGGACTGCACGTATCTGCCGTGTTGTCCTCTGTACAGTGGCGGGCTCTGATAAGCTGTTGTCCTAGGTCTGGTCAGGCTGCACCACTTAGGTCTCTTGGGACGCTCTGCCTCCACACAAAGCAGGCCTATTGCAGGGGCTGTGAGGACTGTAAGAGACCATGCGTGTTCCGGTATACCCCTGGCGTTCAGGATCCCTCCACCAGTGTTGGCCAAAAAAAACAAAACAACAACAACAACAACAAAAACACCAAACAAACAACAACAGAAAACCTATCTGAACAAAGCTCCCTGGTACAGACAGGGCAGAACCTGAGTCTGCAATAACTGAGCCCATGGCCCAACTCAGCTGCTTACTGGCCAGAGACTCTGGTCCTATCCTCAGGGCACACTGGGCTTCCCTGTGACGTGGGACCACCGGAGCCCCTCTGGAGAGGAGAGTGTCAGCCCAGGAGAGGAAAAGGGAGAGTGAGAAAGTTTTGGCAAAGGAGAGCCCAATCAATGCATATGCCAGGCAAGTAAGTTGGGCTCTGATCTGCCCAGGGATAAAGCCCTTCTGCTTCATTATGGATATGCTGGGCCCTCACCCAGGGCAGCCCTAATCCCTGCTCCAATGCAGCACTGAGGCTTCAGCTCAGACCTGGCCGGGACTGGAAGGGAGGCAGGGATCAAAAGCAGAAGAGATTAGCATCATAGAGAGTCCCTGAGGGTGAGCCTGGATTAATTCACCCTTTCACTGAACACCCCCCCCCAAACGCACACACATACACACCCCCATGCCTCCAAGGGTCCTGGGAAGTTGCCTGGGTTGGGGGAAGGATCCCTAGGGCCCTATCACACACCTGAGACACAAGTTCTTACCGGGAGGTTGGATGAGGACAGTGGTTTGGGCAGACTGACAGGGTAGAGCGGGCCTCACGGTGTCCCTGAGGCATAGGCCTGACAAATGTTCTTCAAGGACTCCTTAGTATTCTCTACAATGCCTGCCTTCAGGTGCCTCGGTTGGGCTGTCCTAGGCTGGAGGGAGGAGTAGGGCTCAGCATGGATCTGCCCCTGTGGACACCAGCAGAGCTGGCAAGCCTTTGGCAACAGAAAACGGGTGAGGAAGACTGAGCAAATCTGGTATCTGTTACCCCCAATCCAGGCACGCTGAGTTCCTCTGGCCCTACCATCTCTTCTCTCTCCCCCACCCCTCCCTCCAACCACCTCCACCCACCTCTTGCTTCATGAGGTTCCAGCTCCCACCTCAGGCCATCTGTTCTATCCTTCAACGGACTCCAAGGTCCACTCTTCGTGCCTATTCTGCAGGAGAAACTAGGGCTCAGAGAGATAGAAAGACAAGCCCCCAAAAGAGGTGAGTGAATTCGGAGCTGACGAGCTTCCAGAGAATCAAAGGATCAACTTGGCCCAGGTCAGCCCAGCTATCTTTTGCTCTCCATTGTCTTCCAAAGCCCATGGGCCCTCCTGCATGGCCCTCTGCTCCTCTGCATAGAAACGTGAACCTTACACCTGGATGGACCTCTGATGCTCTCCCGCTAACACACTCAGCCTTTGCTCCTGTCTACTTTTGTCAAGACCCATCACAAATGACTCTCAGCGAGCTTCTTCCCATTGCTTTACCCATCAGTGGCCTTCCTGCCCCCTAGCCAAAGGCCTGGAGACGTTCCTCTCTTGGGTACTAACCACTTTTCCTGTTGAGAGACCCAAAGGGCAGATCCACGGCTTATCTGCATCAGTCAACCTCCATCTCTAGACTGGGGTAAGGATGCGCCAAGGCAGGGAAGATTATGGACACCCCAACCCCCCAATCTCTACAATCCACTGCCACACAGCATCGTTTAACAACAGTGGCTCTGAAACGGATTGTCCTGGGTCCATATCTCAGTTCATTTCACCCGGTAGCTGTGTGACCTTGGGGTTATATAACCTGTCTCTGCCTTAAATTATATTTTTTATGTGATTGATCGATTGGTTGGTTTTGGGAAAGATTCCCCAGGCTAGCATGCATTCTCCATGGTCCTCCTGCCTCAGCCCCTGCAACGCTAAGGATTATGGGGGTGTGCTACTATACCCACCACGCTACCTGCTAAGTGATGGCAATAGGTTAGTTCCAGTGTTCCAAGCTTTGCAGGATGAAGTGCACTGGCATATGTAAATTCTTGGCCTGAGACCCTGCATCTCATATTGCTATATATGTGTCTGCTGTTACTAGTATTAGAGTCTAACAATTAGACTAAGAAGAGGCACTGGTACAAAGTCTCTCCAGAAGAGGATGGAAGTCCAGACAGGAACCGGAAAGCGGGGGGGTGTTGCATTTTAATTCCACGGAATGGCCAAAACCATCTTGAAAGTGGTTATCACCAGGTCTGTCTTGCAGATAAGGAAACTGAGGCTCCCAAAGGTGGTGTGAGCTACGGAGAACGCATATCCCTAGTAGCAGGGCTGGGATGGAAGGCCAGGTCACATGGCTCCAAAGTCCACACTTTCAACAGCCCGAGCTGCCTCTCTGTCTGGCAGGAAGATAAGCCATGTACACAAATAGCTGTAATCCGAGGTAGAAAGTGATAAGTGCCAAGAGGGACAACGATAAGGGCTCTGGGAGGGCTTGCAAGGGAGGCAGGCAGCTGCCCAAGGCAGGAAGAGAAAGGCAGGCGGTCAACACAAGTTGGGGAGAGTGGGTGTCAGTCAGTCTGAGCGGGGTCTGGGAGGTGGACAGGCAGGGTAGGTGGTAGCCAGGGGACTGAGGATATGGTCTGTGTAGCCATAGGACCTAGCACCATGGCGTCACCAGGGCCCAATAAATATTTGTGAAAGGAAGGGAAGAGAGGAGGTAGGGAGAGGGCTGAAAGGAAGGTGGCTTTGCTATCTCTGCCAGGGTCTACCCATCTCATGGGGTGCAGATCAAGATGCCAGGGGCCGTGCGTACGCTTTGGGGCTTCTCTTTGGGGGCAACTCTGAGATGCGGTCTGCTTGCACTGGCTTAGGAAAAGCAGCGGTTAAACTTTCACCAACTGTGCGAACTGCAGGGCATGCCGCACCAGGCCACCGTGGTAGGACTATTTACACTAATGGGAATCAACAGATACTACGAATCAGGTTTTCCCCAGTCTGGAGAGCCAGATGTTAAACATTTACTAGCACACACACACACCGCTGGGCAGAGGTCTGCTCTGTGAAGGAGCAAGCATTCTATCTCCTCCGGAAAGGAACAGGAGGGGTGGGGGGTAAAAAAAAAAAAAAAAAAAAAGACTGTTACTTCCTGGGAAGAATGAGGCTAAGGTGTTCTTGCTTAGTGAGGGGGCTCAAGTCAGATGACCTGAGGAGCTCCTCTCTGACTTCAAGTGCCCATGAAAAGTTGGGCTTAAGAAAACACTGTGCCAGCATAATTACTCATGCCAGGAAATCATTAACCACTTGACCTAGAAGGAGGGAGGAGGGCAAGGACCTGGAAACCATGGGAGAAGCTTCATGCTCACAGATGTCAAGAAAGCCTTTCTCAGTCCATGTAGCCAGGAAGAAACAACCCTAGGGCAAGAGAGAGTCGATGTCTCCAGACCCTGGGTCCAGAGCTCCTCCTGGGGCACATAGCTGCACCTCTGGGAACAGAACTCTCTGCACAGAGCCTGTTTGGCTGGTGTCCTCCATCAGAATGTCAGATGGGCGGGAGTGTGGGTCACATCTGCCTCCTCTTTGTTGGGGGATCTTAGCACATACCTCTGTGCTTGACACACAACTTAAAGCCAAATGCTATTTGCTGAATGAATCGAAGCGTCTGAGATCCTGTCCCCTGGCACCTGGGGACAAGAGTGGCATCTTTTGAAACATCACTACCCGGGCGGGTGACATGGATTCAAGGTGTCAGGGTGCAAACCCTGACAAGACCCCCCCTCCAAACACACACCCACATACACACCCGTATGCTACTAGTCAAACCACCCAGCCATTTTCTTCTTCCACAAAGTGGGTTGTGGAACCTGCCTGCCTCCTGGGGCTGTTGTGGCCCTTATGTGAGACTTTTTTTTTTTTTTTTTTGGTTTTTCGAGACAGGGTTTCTCTGTATTGTTTTGGAGGCTGTCGGTCCAGCCCGGCCTCGAACTCACAGAAATCCGCCTGCCTCTGCATCCCGAGGGCTGGGATTAAAGGCGTGCGCCACCAACGCCCGAGAAAGTATTCTCTTTAAAAAAATAATTTATTTATTGTTTTATGTGCATCGGTGTTTCACCTGCATGCACATCTGAAAGCATTCTTTACAAACTCAGAAGTGCTATTCCCAGGGGAGGAGGGAGCTTGAGAAGTCAGCCCTGGAAGCATGACAGCAGCTTCTCCCTAGACCCTGGCCAGTGACCAGAATGTTGGTCTTTGCAGAGCTGATCATTGGAGTAACCCTGGCCTGGCAAGGTCAGAGTTCAGGTGCAAGAGGGATCTCTCGAAAGGGTTGTGAGCAAAAGCAGACAGCCACGGAGTCTTGGGGGAGCCCTTCCCGAGAGCACATGGGTAACTGTCTCAGCAGAGAGCTGTTTAGTGTGCTTCTAGGTTCCCAGTGCTCTACCCCTGCAGATGGCGTACCTTCCTGGGCGTGGGTAGGAAAGCCTGCTGTGTGCACCCCTGAATCAAACCAGGGTTGAAAGTGGTGTTGCAGAACAGAGATATTTGCAACACCCCCTCCTCCCCCCAGGCATCTACCCACAGTCCTTTCTTGGTAGGGTGGGGTCTGCCTGCCAGGGAAGGGGTCCAGCTGGAGAGCGTGATGGTGGCAGTGGCCCTCCAGTCCTTCCAAATGACATCTGATACTTGCAGAAAGGGTGAGGCCAGGCCTTTCGGTGGCCGGCTCCTGCTCCATCCCAAACAGCTGGACTCTGGCTCTGGTTGGCACCAGCTGCGATTGAGAACAACGCCTCAGTTTCTCTTCTTTCTCCTCTCTCATTTTAATTGAGAAGACAGGGACCACAACCACTCACTGAACATCATCAAGGTGTCTGGGACTGTACGTCCTTCAAAAAGAAGCACAGCTGCAGGAGCTCCAAGGCAGGCTGCAAAGTGCAGGAATGCCGGTCACTTTGGGAGCCTTGATACTATCCTACCCTTGCTGTGTGATCCCGTGCAGATCCATGTCTCACTCTGGTCTTGTTTTTCTACAGCTTCCACGAGAGCCTGCCTTCCAGGCACCTGTTCAACACCAGTGAATTTTTTTTCTTCCCTAAACCTGAAGAATGGCATCTGGACAGTCCTTCACGGGACCCTGGTCTGTTCATGTGTGTTCCTGCATCTCCGCTGCACTTGACTGCTTGTGGATTCACTGGATGATAGTATAGAGCAATGCACCAGAATTCCGTCTCTAGAGGTGGGGACTGGGTAGATTTTCCACCGTGAGGTGTTATTATACTGGCAACTGTGATTTCCTGTGCCTCAGTTTTCTTGTCAGTAAAATGGAGCCATTAATACCAATCCTCAGCTCAGGTGAGGACCAGAATTCAAGTGCATGAGCTACTGGGGGACCTGGCCCAGGGCAGGGACGTTAAAGGGCAGTTACTATGGTCACATTGACATGGGGGCAGTCTGGGCAGCATCCGGGGATGGAGATGATGTGGACAGGTTGGCTGGTGGTATCGTCAGAACAGGCTCCTGAGCAGGCTGACTGCAGATATGGACTGGAAGGCTGGGGTTGGGTGTGTCCCAGGAGACGAAGGGAGGGTGCACAAAGGCAGGCCAAGGAGTTGTAGGCCACCAAGCGCGAAGACCATGAAGACAGGTTAGGGCGGGAGGGTGTAGAATGCGTGTGTGCGTGTACGAGATGTCAGGCCCGAGAGCTCCTCTGCAGCGGGGGGGAGGTGCCGAGGCATGGAGGCAGGAAGCCGCTGAACTCCACCCTTGGCACGCTGCACGGATCTCCCCAGCCGTCCTTCACATGTCTGCTGCATGGTGGAGCTCTGGTGTAGGGAGAGGGTGGCTGCAGGTAGCGGCCCACCTTTTTCTCTGGACTCCCCAGTCCTGTGGCCCAGTGAAAGCCGCCGCCTCCCTCTGTGTCATCTTCGTCACCCCCACAGAAGTGCCATTGTGAGGACCGGAGGATGGCAAGACAAGATGACACATCCTAGCTGGGTGTGGAGGCTCCCAGCTGGGCTCCCAGCTTTCAGCCAAATATAGGACTCTTAGGTTCATGAGGCCAGCCTGGGCTACACAAGCAAGACCTTGTCTCAAAGTGCCCCGCCCCCATGAAGTAACCGATAACAAGTAAGTCCTGGATGGTCATATACCGGGAATCTTCCTCTTCCCATACATCAGTGTTCAGAGAAGGGAGGGGAATCTAGCCGGAACATAGAAGGTTTTATACTGGGGGTTGCAGGCTTTCTGTGTTGGACCAACTACCTACTCGTAAGAGGTGTAGGTACAGGGCTGGGTAGCATCCAAAGGGTCCTGGTCCAACCACAGGTGAAGACGAATTATGTTCCTATTACTGTGGAGGAAGGGCTTAGACAGAACTCAGCTTCTAGTAGTTGCTTATATATGTCTTCCCTGAAGTACTTTGAAAGTCACCTCGGCTGTACCCTACTTGGTCATGAGATGAGCCCGGGGGTGCAGCCAGACCTGGAACCCTAACCTGGCCTCCCAGCAGCCAGTCAACTTCTATGCTCTTCCTGCAACCTAGAGACACAGGAGGAGAGGGAGCTCCAAAGCACCTGGCCCACGGGAGCAGAGAGTTGGGTTTTCACATACCTTTTGGCTCCTGGAGGAGAGAGGCAAGAACTGGTATCTGTGTCCCTTGTTCCTACCTCTGCCCAATGACTGCAGCCTGGTCCAGAAGCCATAATCCCTACACCCTGCCTGCACAGATCCTCTGCATACCCAGGGTGCTTACACCTCTTATCACTGCTTTCCTCCTGGCCCTTGGACTTCCTGGGACCCAGGCTCAGGGCCTGGCCTAAGCCCTCAGTTTTGATGGTTCTGTTAGGGGAGGAAGCATGAGCCACATAACCCTGATGGGAAGGTGGGTGTAAGCTGAGCCTGCATTGCACAGCACACACTCCCGTGGGTACTGATGCTGCCCTTCTGAGCCAGGGGGGAGTACAGGAATCCGCACCCACCAGGAATGCACGTTCCTAGTCTCTGTTTCAACCCAGGGCTGCTGCAGCTGAGGTTTAGATCGGAAACTCTGGGCACAGACAACAGCAAGTCTTGATTGCTGCTATGAGACCTAGCCTTTAGTTTATAGAGGGTCCAGAAAGGAAGAACAACTTCCCTAGGGCCACACAGAATTGCTGGCTAAGGAGGCAGTGCTCCAGTTGTTGGCTTACAGGAAGCTGTGTTAATGAGGGCCCAGGGCAGTGTGGGGACTGTATTTACAGTCCACTTTTCTTCGGAGGGGATAGTAACGTCCCTAGTTGCAGGCAGTACGTTAATGCCTATGATGTCCTCACTCAGCACACAGTAGGTACTGAATAAGTCAGACCTTCTAGGACTCCAGAGGGAGCCAACAGGCTTAGTAGCCTCCTGGACAGAAGGATAGAGATTAACAAGGGTCTGGGATCTCCAACTCTTTTGAGGTCCTAGCCCTCACAAGAGGACTGGGTGTGATTTCTAGACTTACTGCCCCCAAGGTGCCATGCTTTGTGGACTGGGAAGGCTGAAAACAAAGGAGTCTTGCTAGACTCCTCGGCCCTCTGTGGCCACTTCCCGGTTTCCAGATGAACACGTTGGTTAGAAATAAGGGGTGGGGGAGCCAGCAAGATGTCTCATCATTGGGTAAAGACTTTTGCTGCTGAACCTGAGGATCAATCCTTAGGACCCACATTGATAGGAGAGGAGGTGGTTCCTAAAAGTTGTCCTCTGATCTTCATGTGCACTCCTCCCCTCAAATAAACAAATGCAAAGCAATTTTTAAGAAAGGAAGTGGGTGGAGCCTTGTGGACAGAGCTTTTGCACTTGATGAAGGCTCACCTGAGGTCACCATTTCCCCCACTTCCTGGTTACTTGCAGGATCTGGAGAGAAGGTTGAGAGGGCTGGGTGTCCAGACTCAGGTGGTCATCAGGAACTGGCCCAGGTGTTGGTTGGGGCCGGATTCTTTGCATCTCAAGTGTGACAGTCTCAGACTAACCTTCCCAACCTGGGCCACCCACAGGCTGTGGTGCTTGCGGGCTGTGTGTGTGTGTGTGGGGGGGGGGGTGCGCGCGCGCGGGCACGTGCGTGTGGGTGCCTATGTGTGTTCTTCTTGGAAATGTGCTGGGACCAGGCCATTCCAGTGTCCCTGGAGATCTGGAAATGTATTTCATACTACCCACTTTCCCCAGGGATACTCAGCTGCCACCTGTGGGTGGGTAGTGGAGCCAGTTGCTAACAGTTCATCCTGTGTGACAGGTCCGAGGACTGAGGCCCAGGAGCACCGCCCCCCCTCCCCACCCCAATAGCAGCAGGAGGCAGAATTTACCTAGGGGGAGGGAGTGGTTTTCCTGCACCCAGACACCCCCTGCCCCGTGTCCCCTGTGGACCTGAGCCGCAGTCTGCCCTCAGGAATTCCAGGCTGAGTTCACGGCTGCCAGACCTTCAGAGCTTTGAGAATGAATTCAAAGCTAGCAAACGCGTTTTGTCTCCTTGTCTTGGTGGTGGAAGGAGTGATCTCTCTGGCCCTGAAGGAGTTCAAGCTGAGGTCAGAGCAGCCAGCCCTCTGAAGGATATTCTAAAATGGGGGTCTGCGGTGTGGCGGGGGGAGCGCTCTGGCCTGCTCCCCCCTGTTGGCCCGCGGTGCGCTATGATCACCGCCCGAGAGGCTCAGGAACCCGCGAGACAGCGTGGCACGTCTGCGCTCCCATGCGGACCTCGTCAATCAAACTGCGGCCCCGCCGAGGCCAATACTTCTTCCGCCCGCCCCAGGCCCTGAGGAAGACCCCCGCCCCGGCTGCCTGCCCGAGCCCGCCCCCAGCGGTGTCATTGTTCTCTGACGTCACGCGGCGGCCCCGCCCCTCTCCCCCCCCTCCACCTTTCCTCCCCACCTCCGGTTCTCCCGGCTAGCTGCCAAGCAGCCTCCGACGACCCGGCAGTGCAGGGCTCCCCCCGCGGCCCGGCCGGGGCTGCGCCCCCTTGCGCTCTTCCCAACTTGCCTTTGTTATTCCAGCTCCCTTCCTCGCCTCGCCTCCGACACTGCGGCTGCCTGCAAAACGCGGAGCGCGGAGCAGTCGCCACACCTGAATTGCCTAGCGGGCTCCGGCCCAAGCCAACCCCCGCCTGCCTTGGAGGGGAGTGCGTGCGTGCGCGCGTGTCCAACCCAGGCGCTTGTTATCCTCAGGACTGGAGTGCCTCTAGTCAGGAGGGGGTTGGGGGTGATGGTTGAAGAAGGGATGTAGGAGAGTAAGAAGAGTGTGCGTTTGTTCGTGAGCGTGAGATGTAGTGCACGGGGGAATGCCTCGTGTTTTTGTTTTTTGTTTTTTTTTTTAAGCGTACCGGAGGTGGTGTACAGCAATGTTAATGTGTGCAATTCTGTAAGTCCGGGTGCACGGGCATATCTAGGATGGAAAGTGTGTGTGCGCCCAAGTGTGCTGGGGGGGCAGTATGCGTGCTCTGCTGAGGGTAGCTGCAAACGTGTGTGCCATTTGTGTAGGAGTTTCTGCGTGAGTGGCAATGGACATGAGCCAAAGGGAGTGCGCACTTGGGTACTCTCGGGGACGGGTTTGCGAGGGGAACCCCCGCGAGTGGGCGCACCTAACTATGCTTCGTGAGTGCCCTCCGCCACCAAGGGAGTGGTGCCCAGCTCTGAGCTGGGAGCTGAGATGGGTTCTTTCCACCTCTGCAGCGCGAGAGCGCTCGGCTCCTGGCGCCCCAAGCGCTTCCTGCAGGGCACTGGGGGCGTTCTTGCGCCTCTTAACTTCGAGTGGGGTGGGGACATATGATTCGCTCTGCATCCCTCGCTCCTCAGAGGTCAAGGGCAGTGAGCTTCCACCAGTGGTGGTGAAGGTTAGGGTCCTCTCACTCTCTCTCTGCCACCCAGTTTTAGGAATAATCCAAAATCTCCGGGGAAGCTTTTGCACACCTCTCGTTAGCAACTCGGTCACCCCAATTCGGATAGCTGACAGCACCTGCGGCCCCCCAGTGCACTCCCGCGGGGGACCTGCAGGAAGCGGGGTACGCCTCCGGGCAGTGATTTTGCTCCTACCAATGCGGTCCCTTCCTAGGCACATCAGTTCCCCCACTCCAAACTTACGGGATTGAGGGGGTGTTAAAGAGCAGCTAAAGGAGGCTGGAGGAGGGACGAGAGTGTAAGGGAGTGTGGAGGTAGCACAGAGCTCTCCAGGGTCTGATAGAAAAAAGCTTAGAGAGAGCAGAGACCTGGGAACAGGAAGGAAGGGAGGGAAAGAAGGGAAAGGAGAGATAGGCGGAAGGAGAGATAGGCGCAGCGAGCGCGCAGATGGAGAACGAACCAAGGCAAACCCGGCTGAGCGCTAGAGGCGGGGCGCTCCGCTCCTGCGTTTACTCCGTGCCGGCTTTTGCGGGAGGCCGGCGGCGCGGGGCCCTTTGGAAATAGAATAGCCAATGTAATCTGACACTTCAACTTGCTCGGCTCCGGGCGAGTTGATTCACTTACTCACCCCCTAACGCCGAGTTCCTTTTCACTGTCTGTGGACATTAAAAAAGCGAGCGGCGGCGGCGGGCGCCCGGGAGAGCGAGCGGCCGGGCGGGCAAGCAGCGATCGGGCCGCAGAGCAGGCGAGCAGCGCCGGCGCAGCGCGGTGACCCCCAGCACCGGCCGGCTAGGAGCCGGAGCCGGAGTCGGAGCCGAGTGGATCTCCGCGCTCTCCCTGCGCTCCTCCCGGCTCCAGCCGGCCCTACCCGGTGGTGGCGGCGGCGCGTCCTCCAGCGGTGGCAGTGGTGCTCGCAGCACCCGGTAAGTTTGGGGACAGAGCCAGGCGCCCACTAGCACCGAGGGTTCCTCCCGCTTCGCGCGGATCGCCTTGGTGCGAGCGCGGGGTACTGTTCTGGGGCTTTCCGCTTAAAGGCTTTGCTCTGGCAGGGCGAAAGGGGCCAACCGTGCGGGCTGGGTGCGCTGTCCTGGCCTCCGGGGGCGGAGGCCCTAGCCACCAGGAGCGCCGAGCTATGTAGAGCGGCTCGGGATGAGTGCGGGGACCGGGAGATCGTCGGGTGTGCGGGGTGCCGGTGCGGTTTGTGTGCGCGCGGACTCGGTGTCCGCCTCCTGCCGGCGCGCCTCCAGCAGTCTCTCGGAACACTCGGGGCCGGCCGGGATACGGATTTGGAGGAGGGAGGGAAGGACCCGGGAAGGACTGGTTGAATCTCTCTCGCCTCCTTTGGAAAGATGTGAAGTTGTGCTCCTGTGTGCGTAGGAGAACCGCCGGGAAGGCGCTGGATTCCAGGGAGGCTAGGGTTGGTGGTGTTAAGTTGTGCCTCCCAATTTCTATGGAGAACACACTTTTGTACATAGGAGATGGGGGCGCGGTTAAGTTGTTTTCAGGGGAGAATGGCCCAGGAAAACGCGGCGCGTGGCTGGAGCAGGGCACGCTGAGGGGAGTGTGTCTAGGCTTCCCGTTCGGGCTTCGGAAACCGAAGGGGCTTTCAGGCCAACGCCTGGCCGGGGCTGCCCCAGCCAGGAGGCGAGCCCAAGGGGAAGATGTGTCTCTGTGTGCGCGCGCGCGTTGCAAATACGAAAGTAATTTCCCGGTGTTCTTTCTTCCTCTCTGTCTCCGGCGGCGGTGGCCCCGGGGGAGTGGTAGGCCGGCCCGGGCGGAGGTTGAGGGGCCGGGCTGGAGCTGAAGCTGGGGTCTAGATGGTGGGGGCAAGCTCTGAAAGCTTGTTTCACATTCCTGGCTTCAGGACTGGGGAGAAAACAGTGGGGAGCACGGCCTCGGTGTCGCGGTGCAAGCTGCGGGAGCGCGTCGCCCCCTGGCCGGGGACATCTGTCCAGGAAGCTGGTCAGGCGAGGAGAGGGCGCGGTGCAGAGGGCAGGCTCCCCGCCCTGGAGCGGTGGGGGCGCGGGCGAGGGGCGGCCGCCTCTCCCGGCCATTGTGCGCCAGCAGATTTTCACGGGAGACTGCCCCGAAGCCGCCGGAGAAGGCCAGGAGCTGGCCACAGCCCCGGGTTTAAAAGACACTCCAGGAATGTAAACAACCCGGGCGGGAGGGCTAGCGGACGGGAGCGCGCCAGGACTGCGGGTCTGGGTCCCCTACCCTCCCCCCCTCCCACCCCCGGGGACAGCCGTTAGAAGCGGCCACTCTGCCCTTCCCTCTACCTGCCGCAAACTTTTCCCTCCTCTGCTTTATACTTCCACCTTGTGCCTCCAGCCCGGAGCAGGGCAAGGGCCTTTCCCACAACCCGGCTAAGGGAGCCTGGCATCCCGCACCCGACCCGGAGGCCCGGCGGCCGGATGCCTGTTTCGATGCCGGGAGCCCGGGAGACATCTGCCCCGGGAGCTGCAGCTTCTTGGGCTGGCAATGCTAAGAGTAACTGGGACTAGGAGCCTGCCCGCCTGGATTGCTTGCTCGCTCTCTCCCGCCCTCCTTCCCGCGGCTCCTTCCCCCGCTCTCCCCCTTCCCCTTTCCCCTGACTGCTTTTCCAATGCCCTGACATGAGGGAGGAAGATTTAACTTGGCAGCCCAAACAAATGTTCTCTCTGAGATCTCCAAGAAGCTGGCTGGCGGCTGGGCTGGCGGGGTGAGTGCACCGCTCGGCCAGCCTTTCCCTCCTCTCTGCACTGCCAGGGACATTTGGAGCCCCGTGGGTGGACAGCCCCGGGGCATGAACAGTGGGGACCAACCCCCCGGGATTTGAAAAGGCAGCCAGTGGGCTGCGCCTGTGGAAGCCCCTGCCTTGGCGCTGCGTAGAGAGCCATTGGCTCCAGCTGTCTCTTGGTGCCAATGGTTTTCTGAAGGGTTTTCTTGAGCAACAGTTTGCCTCTGCTGCAACCTGGGAACTGGGCCTGGTAGACCAGAGGGTTAACTAGTGCAGTCTCCTCCCTCCCTCGTGGGTGTGAGGACAGGCTGGTTACACAGGGCAGGGCAGGAGGCCAGTGGCTGTTCCCAGAGGTGCCTGGTTTTTGCTTATTGTGTTTTTGAAGGTACAGATAAAGGGATGGTGGCTGGGACTGGAGAAGCAGGCAACTTGGCTGCTGGTAAATTTCAGCCTGCCTCCCTGTGCTTGCATGGTGAATAGAGTGTGAAAGTGTTGCCTGTGAGCTATTTGGGAAGTTTATATGAGGGAGCAAAGCCATGGCCTTTCTTATCCGGGCTGGTTTTTGAGGAGGTCCAAAGCAGGGGGAATTCCTGGGCCCTTGCTTGGGACCCCCTGGCCTCTGAGGAGAGGCAGAGCGTTTGTGAACACCCCAGGAGCCTTGAGCTGACCTTTCCCTCTTCAAGAAGAGGATGTCGAAACACCAGCATCAAACAAAAGGCACATTGAAAGCCCTATCTGCCTGGGAGCTTGCGGCTTCAGACTAGGAGTGCATTTAGAGGGAGATGGTGGTGTTTTCCTCTGGGTTTTATGATTCTGGTTGTTTTGGTTCTCCCCCCCCCAAAAAGGACAGAAGCATCACTGGCCCCAAGTCACACAGTTAGGAGACCTAGTTTTCTCCTATGAATCAGAAGTTTAGACTTGGGAACTTGGTGACTGAGACTGGGGGAGGAGCTATAGACTTTCCAGGACTTGAGCTGCTGCGGTTGTAAGACTTTCTGAGTGCTTCTCACAGACTCACACAGAGGGGACTGGACTTATGAAAAAACTTTGAATAAATAGCCTTGTCTGTGCAGAAACGGCTGTGGGCTTCTTTGTGGGGACAAAATGTTCTTTTTTTTCCCTCCTAAGGAAAATGTGTGTGTGGAGGGGGGGAATCCAGGGGCAAATAAAGATCTAGAAGCTGGGGTTTGGCTCTAATGTCTAATGCCCCCTCCCTCCCGTGTGCGTGTGCGTGTGCGTGTGTGTGTGTGTGTGTGTGTGTGTGTGTGTGTGTGTGTGTACGAGTTCCCAGCCACAGCAATGCTACATTTTCATCCCTGGCCCCTATTTAGATAACCCAACATGGCACAGTTGTCCACAGGTTCACTCTTACCAGAAGATGGAAGGAAGGACTTAGATATGAAGAGCCACAACATACCCACCTCTGACCGGTGATGGTGGATAAGGAAAGAAGGCTCTTTGAAGCCTGTATATGTCCTCAGTCTGGGCACCAGAGGGCCTGTGTGGGAAGCTTGGATACCTAGCTCCAGCCCCAAGTCCATGGAGTGTTTTTTTTTTTTTAAACCCAGTCTTGGAGTAAAAGGTTGTAAGAAATCTGTGCAGCAGCAAGTTAATTTTGGGAAGCGTCTGTGGATACGGTGGCATGAAACCAGGATGTAGGGCGTGCTGGATAGGGACTGGATTCCATACATTTCCATTCATAACTGCTCCCGTGGGTCCTCGTCAGGACCTGGCCTCTGTTGCATCTTTATGAGATTCCTTGGGTTTTGTATAGACAACAAAGGGCCCTGCCCTAATTACCCCTGACCCTGACCCTGTGGCTGAAATTTCTCCTGGTGACTGCTGGATCCTCTCAGCAGGACACAGTGGCCTCTACCCAGGCCTCTCTGGGGGAAATCTTTCTCCTGAAGAGACCCTGAGTCTGGGGTTGTGGCAGCCTGCCTGGGTGCATGGAGAAGTCTGGCCTGAAAATTCCAACCGTGAGTGTGAAGTTAGGCCCTCCCTCAGGGAGGAAACACACAGCAGTTCTACCATAGACACTGGACAAGGGGAGAGGGAAGGGTATCTGGAGGCTGTCACTTGCTGGCTGTGTGGGTCAGGAGGTTGACTCTGCCGGGCCTCAATTGCAAAATGAGTTCAATCGCAGAACTCTCATCATCCCACATGGTTGCTGGGAGGAGGAGTTTGGATCCAAACATTTGAGTCTTCAGCCTGAAGACCGGACAAACTCCGACGTAGGACAGTAGGTGACAGAAGGGGCAGGTTGGGGGTCAGGGATGCTGGAGACATCTCCAGAAGTTTTCCATTATCCTTACTTACCTCGCTGACAGCTGACAGCCCAACCTCAGCTTGCATGCCTCCTGTGACAGGGTGCTCACCACCTCTGGGCAGCTGTGAGGTTCATGCCTCCTGGAAAGCCACACCAGGTGATCGATCCTGACTTCAGCCTTAAGATGCTGGAGCCTCTTCCCAACCACAGACTCATTTTTCCTATAATGATCATAAGGTCTAAGTCCTGTGTCCAGACCACAGTGATATGTGTGCATGGGGATGGGGAGCATTCTTCCGATGGCTCTTTCTAGCCTTAGGATATAAGCAAAGTTCAGGAAGGATCTGTCCATTGACTCTAGGATAGCCAACTTGCCTCTTGACACTTTCTTTCCTTGAAGTGGGTATGACCGGTTGCGTAGTGAGGATAGATAGGGTCAGGTCAGGGACCCAGGACCGACTCTTCATGTGCTTAATGATAGTCTACGGAGTGAAGCCAGTGGCCAGTGAGCCCCAGAACCATGCAAGACATTCTTAGGAGCTTTTTGTCCAGCAAGGGCAGAAAGACCAGTTCAAATAAATAATTATCCACCAGGCTCTGGCTGCCTGCCATATGCGCACGAGAAAGGGCGTGGCCATAGCCCCTTCCTTTGCCTGGCATGGCCTACCTAGAGTCACTCTTCGAATTTTGTTGGATCCCATTAACAACAGTGTCAGCTGCTATATGGAATTGCCTCCATTTAACAGAGAAGGAAACTGAAGCTCAGAGAGAGGCTGTGGCTACTAAGCCGGGACTCAACTCCACGCAGGGCATTGAGCAGTAGCCCCAGCTATGCTGGCATGTGGTACAGAAGCCTGTGTGGATCCCAGGAAGGGGCGCAGGTGGCCCTCCCTGCATCTGGCAATACACGGCCCCCACCCCCAGCAGCTGTCTCT